CTAAGGTCCACTTGACTTCACATTCCAGGATGTCTGGCTCTAGGTGAGTGATCACACCATCATGATTATCTGGGCTGTGAAGATCTTTTTGTACAGTTCTTCTGTGTATTCTTGCCACCTCTTCTTAATATCTTCTGCTTCTGTTAGGTCCATACCATTTCTGTCCTTTATTGAGCCCATCTTTGCATGAAATGTTCCCTTGGTATCTCTAATTTTCTTGAAGAGATCTCTAGTCTTTCCCATTCTATTGTTTTCCTCTGTTTCTTTGCACTGATCCCTGAGGAAGGCTTTCTTATCTCTCCTTGCTATTCTTTGGAACTCTGCATTCAAATGGGAATATCTTTCCTTTTCCCCTTTGCTTTTCACTTCCCTCCTTTTCATAGCTATTTGTAAGACCTCCTCAGACAAACATTTTGCTTTTTTGCATTTCTTTTTCTTGGGATGGTCTTGATTACTGTCTCCTGTACAATGTCACGAACCTCTGTCCATAGTTCATCAGGCACTCTATCAGATCTAGTCCCTTAAATCTATTTCTCACTTCCACTGTGCTAAAAAAAAAAATTGATTGAATTTCATGTTTGAGCATAGATAAATTAATGTACTGAAGATAAAAGAGCAAACATAGAAGCAGTCTAATCTTAAATGTATAGAACATTTAAAACATGAAAAAATCACTAATACTACTAAGATTTTTTAAAATGTGTTACCTAAACATAACTACATCTTGATATTATCACTATTTTGTATACAATCTATTTCTGTATTTCCCTATTACTGAGAAAACTAAGAACATGTGTGACCTTTAACTAGCTCAAAAGCACATATAGGCATGTGCTGATTACCCAGCTGCTTCTGAATCATGCAGCCCTCACATGTGCTGCCAGGTGATATGAGATTGGAAGTAATTTCTTCCTGGAGATCCTACATCCTCTTATCGATTTTGAGCTGGAGGGTCTTTCCCTTTAGAGGAGGGTTTTTACATGGTCTTCTCTTTTCCAGGCCTGTGGTTAGGTGTTTAAGGCCCAAGAATGAAATTATTACACAGCATTTACCATGCTTTCATTGACTTCACTTACAAGCAGTTTCTAGTTGTATAGTTCTACTGCTCTGCTTGTCAATGTTATCATTTATTATTCAGGAACCAGGAGGAGCCATTATATTGCCCTTATTTGTAGAGAAAGCTTTTGATAGGGAGGGACATGCAGTGTCACAGACATTTCTCTTGCCAAAATATCTAGTTTTAAAAGAGAAGATTCAAAAACCCTAGGGGTTAATTTCTCAACATTTGGTTCTCAGCCTTAGACAGTCCAAGAAGGATGGATTCTGTTGTTAGCTAAATTCTGACACAGGGAAAGTTGTACTTTTTTAGGTTTCCTTTAGAAGAAGGAGATATGAAGAAGCAAAAGAAGAATAAAGAACAACCTATTTACTTTTGCTTTTAGAAAAATCTGGTAAGCTTGCAGGACACATATGATTCAAGTGTTTGATCCACACTGTCAGCCTCTCATTTTTCTCACCTTATCTGGATGGAAGGTATAGAGCATGCCTCCTCCCTCAGACATGCATAAAACTAATTCACCCAACTGAATGCTAGCCTGTGTCAAGACCACCTGAAAACAGGTCCTATATCTGCATGACTGCCCATAGATTTTACAAGACTCACATCCCACCGATCTCCTGGCTCATGGTCAATGCTTAGTTTCCCTTTTTCCTGCCCACACAGACAGTGGAGAATAGCTGATTATCATTTTTGGTGTCAAACCGCCAGTTACAAATTCCTTATTCCTTTTTTTCTCCAGACTAAACAGTAGATGTTTAACCTTTCTTACATTGTTTATTTTCTGTGTAGTTTACTGTTGTGTTCTGAATCTTCTCCAAAGCTTCTATAACTTTCTTCAATTATGAACCCTGAGGCCGTTTCCTGCTGAAGGAATGACTCATGAATCACTAACGATGAGTGAAATAACCTGCAGGTCGATATGCTGTATTTGTACTGACACATAGTGCTTCAAGCTTGATTTTTCAAACACCACTTAAAGGGAATCATGTTCATATTTGAGTTCTATTAGAAATAATGTTCTGCTGTGAAGTGAGGTCCATTCCTATCATCTTCTCACACAATCTGTCACACCATCTGGCATTTGTACCCAATGGATCATTAAGTGGATCATTCTTATTTTATACCCAATTGTGTAGATAGTTTGATTTTCCAGAAAAACTTGCCAATTCATCAAAATCATATAAAGGTAGTCCTTTCCACCTACATCCTTGTAATACACATCAGTGTATTACTTGAAATCTTGGCTGGTGTCACCTGTACACTCAATAAGTACAATTTCTATTTCATCTAAAACAAGCAAACAGAAAGCAGACCTAGAATCAGCTCCTATGAAACCATATTTGGAATGTTCTACCATGTTCTAGTGAATCATGAGCAATGACATCCTGTCCAACTGTTCTATTGTTCCATGTCAAGCAGAACATATTGTCAGTGCACCTACTTTTGGATAAGCACATTGTATAGCCTAAATTAAAACCTCAAATAAGGTAAGACATATTATACTTATTGGTTCTTTGTGTCCTTTCAACTAGACATTTTATTATGAGAGATCAGGAAAACCAATTCAGTAATTCAAAGAATTTTTTTTTTGCTAAGAGCAGTTATAATTTGGGGGACATAGTGACAAATTCTTGGATGAAAAATCATTTTGAAGGGAAGAGTTCAGGAGAAGCTTATTGTTCACATCTCTGCTTAAGCACATGTGTACGTGCTGCATCACTTCAGTTGTGTCCAACTCTTTGTGGCCCTATGGACTGTAGCCCACCAGCTTCCTCTGTCCATGGGATTCTCCAGGCAAGAATACTGGAGTAGGTTGCCATGCCATTCTCCAGGGGATCTTCCCAACCCAGGGATTAAACCCAAGTCTTTCAAGTCTCCTGCATTGGCAGGGGAGTTCTTTACCACTAGCACTATCTGGGAAGCCCACATCTTGGCTTTAGGCAGTACTTTAGTATTGTAGTGTGTGGTCATGAAACTCACATGGTTAGGAAACCCCTTCAGTCCACTCCTTTCTTTGCTAAATTGCTTTATTTCAAAGTGGTTTCCTCCTTCTTTACTTTTCTTTTTTGATTTGAGAAATTGAAAACTAGAAGAGAAGAATAAATCAAAGCCCAGAAGAAAACATCAGTAGTTGGTATTCACCTGACTCAATACTCTGTGTGACAGAATGCGACTAAAGAGGAAGATGGAAACTATTAATAGAGTCGATTACACTGAATTAGACTTGTCTCTCAGAAGAAATAAGCATAGTGAAAAATTAGGTTGTTGAAGCCAATCCCCTGCTTCTTCCCATTGTTAAGATAACAGGGTAGAGGAGGAATCATTGCTCTGTGCCCGAGGTCTGCAAACTGAGATGGATGGACTGAATCCAGCTGGTCCCCTATTTTTGAGTGATCTGTACACTAAGAAATGATTTTTTACTCTTTTCTTAATGGTAATTATTCTTCAAAGGAAGAATAATATTTTGTGATTTGAATATTAAATTACATGAAATTCACATTTCAGTGTCCATACATACAGCTTTTATGGAACTCAGCCATGCTTATTCATTTATATATTATCTTGGCTGCTTTCTACCATGGCTGATTTGAGTATTTGTGACAGAGACTATGTGGTTCTCAAGTCTAAAATATTTATAATCTGTCACTTTCCAGATTGAGTTTTCCAATCCTAAGCAGAGTGGAAAAACTCAACTTAGTAACTGAATTTACAGAGGCAGAGGGATTTTAGTGACAGTGGGAGAAAAGTATGTGTGATTTGCGAGAACTGAACTGCTTTCAAAACCTAGTTAAAGTTTTAAAAGGGCAGGTCAGGCAATCAGCAGGTACATTCCTCAGTGTAGTCTATGTGTCTGTGAGTGATCATAATAAGTGACAGTGAGGTGTAGACAGAGTTTTGGTTATAGCCACATTATCTATTCTGTACCTTTCTTTTCCTCAAAGTGTTTTTCTATATTGTTACTGGTTAAAAGAGGGCCAGTGTGACCATTAGTAAGACTCGCATTAAGCCCTTGGGGCCATTAAATATCCTTTTGAAAGACCTTTTGCTAAGAAATTTTTCAAAGTACTTAACCATGTTCCATAATTATAAATTGATTTCTTCCTGACTATATTATTATTAGCCAATAACAAGTATACAAAAAGAGAGCATCTGAAAGCACCATAACTTCGCGTTTTAAGGTATATTCCTCCTATAAAGACCACTGCCTGGAAAGATGTGAGGTGACCAGTGCTTAAGCCACGATTCATCTCTAACTCTCAAAGTAGAGACCAGAGATCATGTTCCCTCGATCCACTCTGCTTTCCAAGAGACATTTATCAGAACTTCAGATTGCCTTGCTACGTCTCAAAATGAAAAGCTGGCGTCACTAAAAGCTGGCGTCACTTAAAGGAGTACCCACATTTGTAAAATTGGGGGGATTTATCTAACATTCAATTCCGTTTTGATTAAATTGGTTTTCTGGGTGACTGAGGAGAAGGTGCAAATCCAGAGATCTGGACATGCCCCTGAAGGGACTGAGAATTTCAGATGTAGAAGGGACAAAGAGAATATTGCTAAAGTTAGACAGACAAAGAGAGTGCTACACAAATTCAAGTTTTGAGTCCAGTCCCCAAACCCAAATATGAACGACACGCTAGCCCTCTGTGAAAGGAAACTTACTTCTCCGCATCCTTCGCATCCCCTTTGCATGCCTGCTCAAGAAAACAAGTATTTCTGAACTTCAGAGTAATCCATCTTATTTTTTAAAATTACGAAAATGACAAACTAACCGCACGTGTTCCTCTCCGCCCGTTTCAGACGAAAGTAGGCGGCGCAAACCACGGCGGCGGCAGCTTCGAGGAGGTGCTGAGCTCCACGGCCCACGCCAGCGCGCAGAGCTCGGCCGGCGGTCCCCGGCTGGCCGAGGGGGAGGAGCTTCAGTGCTAGGGCCCCGCCCCGCCCGCGCGCCTCCGGAAGGAAGACCGCGGTCCCGCGGGGAAGACTCGGGCCTTGACCTTGGCCTTGACCTTGTTCTTCAAGTGGCTTTGCCTCACAGTTTAATTAAATGATTTACATTTGAATTCGCTACCATTTTAGAGTTCCTAGATTGTCATCTTTTAAAATGTCGACTTCAGCGGGTACACACTGGTCATGACCCTTGTTTTTGTGTAATTCAACATGTTTTCCAAACCTGTGGCTGTTAATTATTTGCTTTGATTTTTGCTTGGACTCCTGTAGGAAGTGCATGCCTTTGAAGGCTAAGTGCCCCCCTTTCAGTTCTGTCCGCTGGATGGCTCTGTTTCTGACTGGCTCCCGCAGGGAATGAGATGACACTGCAAATATCCTCAAACCGCTTGTGAGCTGCCTCACCTACTTCAATTAATTCCGTATGCTTATTTGAGCAATTAAAATAATTGATTTTAATGATAACTTTGAATCCTTAATTTCTTTACGTTTCAGGGCTGTTGATGACCTTGATAGGTGGTAGTGTAATTCTGCAGATGCTTTTTTAAAATCAACTTCTACTGCTAATCTGGAGAATATAAGAGAGGATATGTAGGTAATTATAACCTCTGCTACTTTAGGATGCTAAAACAATCTCCAATTCTGAAATTCTCTCTAATCTACCTAGAGTAGTGTTTAACTCAGGTAACTACTGAGTTAAGTAGGCAAGAAATAGATGCAAAAGGAATTGCTAGAAAATGGTAGAAGCAGAGTTCTGTCACCCTTTCTAGTTTGCAAACTGCTCACATAAATTAAAAAAAGCATCATGTTAGTACAATCAGATTTCCACAGTAATGTTTACCTTCCACATCACAAACTTCTCTTTTCTTCTCAATGGGAACATACATTTGTTATTAGGTAGCAGGTAGCATTTATTATTGGTAGTGTCAGGGAAGTGTGTGATTTCCTCGGTTCTGTCTCATCGCAGCAAAAATTTCAAATGGTGGACCAGTGTTAGAGCTCTGTTACAGATACAGTTCTATTTGGCAAGCAAAGAAGAGTACACCCTCGAGGCCTGAGGGTGGGCTGACCCAAAAGGAGAGGCCTCAATCTGTCTTGGCTTCCTCCTTTTGTTCATTTATCCGAACCTGCCCTATGCAAATTGGGCTAGCCAAGAATGGCATGTTTGTTTCACCTGCAGTTCTCACTCCAGTCCATGGATTTTCTTCTGTTCCGTTATTGCGGGCTTTTCTCTTTCTTTGTGTTTTAGCCACCACCATTTGGACTCCTTTTTCCTATTATAACTACCTGACACTAGCATCCCATAGCTGCACTTTTAAAACGTACACTGCAGAATGTACAACAGACTTACCAACTAAAAAACCTCCCAAATTTAAATATATATAATAATAATATATATAACACGTAACTATATATTATTTATAAATAATATATAATCCATATAATATGCACAACAGTACATTTGTTGTTCATTTTTTAACTTCATTAGATCAGTTCAGTTCAGTCGCTCAGTCGTGTCCGACTCTTTGCAACCCCGTGAACCGCAGCACACCAGGCCTCCCTGTCCATCACCAATTGCCAGAGTCCACCCAAACCCAAGTCCATTGAGTCGGTGATGCCATCCAACCAGCTCATCCTCTGTCCCCTTCTCCTCCTGCCCTCAATCTTTCCCAACATCAGGGTCTTTTCGAATGAGTCAGCTCTTCGCATCAGGTGGCCAAAGTATTAGAGTTTCAGCTTCAACATCAGTCCTTCCAATGAACACCCAGGACTGATCTCCTTTAGATAGAAGTGGTATTTGTGACATAGTGAAATAAAACTAACTTAAAAAAATTCTATTCACATTAATGGAGCAGGACAATCCATATACCTAACTGAAAATCAAACTGGTTCAGGGACACAGAATCTCCGAGGCCTAGACTTCCAGGAGCAACAGGTGTGGGGGTGTAAACTTGAACCAGAGTGGATGAATGTGGACAAAGGAGCTCTGCCAGTCGAAGTGTTGGCATTCTCCCTAACTTAGCCTTCCAGTCTGCGGGCTGAAGCCAAACCCCATCTAGCTGGCTTGTGACTGTGTTGCTTTCCCACTTCTGTGGCATGCCCTTGATCTGTCTGTCCAATCTACAGTGGTCACCTCATAAACTCACCGCCACCTTCTTGTGGCCACATTCAGCACCCTGCATTGTATTAGAAAAGGCAGTTACTTTGCTATAAACAGATATCTTCATTCAGCAACCCATTTCTACACACAATAGTCTCAACCTTACAATCTGAAAACACAGCATTGAAAATTGGGTAGGAAAATAATCAAGAAAATTAGTATTAATGCTCGAAGCTAAAATAAACTATATCTTAGCTGTTCATTTTAAATCATTCTTCAAAAATTCTATTTTGATCTGTTTTATAAAAACTACATTCATATCACCTCTATTAATTGTTTTTAAAAAATTATTCCGAGCGAGGAATGGTATGATGGCCATGATGTCTTTTTTCATTCTGCCATGAGATGTGTGATAAATAAACCACATCACTCAAGTAGAATAATTAAAACAGTCGGTGGTGGGTAGGTCTCATTTTCTCACTGCCTCATGACTCTGGAGCTGCCTGTGTCTCCCTGACTTTGATGGGCAAGTGTATCCCAATTTGACCAGCTGCTGAGTTGCCCTATTTTGTTCAGCTGGGCTCAGCTCACATGCAGTAGTTTCAAGTATTCCACAGTACTGAATAGTATTTGCACCCAATGGACATAACCTTTGGCTAACAAATCAAAACAACTTCAGGCTAGATCAGCACCAAGCATACGAAATGATATTACAATGTGTATGATGCCAAAAATACATCTCAATAATAAAAAATTCCATTGTGAATTGTGATTACAAAATATTGGGGTCTTTTGAAGTAAGCCATTCTGTAATTTAAGCATTTATCACTTATGAAATCCTGTTGTTTTGATGGAGAATATTCATAAATTCACACTACACCTTTATCTTAAATTCGTGTCTCATCAACTGTGACTATTGATAGTCATGTCAGCAAAACAATCTGCATTTTCCCTAAATTACACGTTTCTTATAAATCTGCTCTTGAACCATGGAAAACAGAACAACTGTATACTTTACTGTGAACACTCCTGATAAGCCACGCCACTCACAGTAGTCAATGTGAAGAGAACACTGGGGATCTAAGTGACTGTTCTGCCACTATACATTGTTCCAAAATTATGTCAGCCTGAAAGTTGTTGAACTTCGCTGTATAGTGGTGCATGAGGTTGTGAACTTTAAGCCCAACCCTCTCCTCTCACTTTTTATCAAGTTGGAGTGTGGGTGGGTGCAATGCAAGAATGTATCTGGGAAGGGTTAATTTTGAATTCATGTTGCTTATGTGACTTCAACCCTCATCTTGCCACTTTTGGGGCTTTCCTGGTGGCTCAAATGGTAAAGAATCTCCCTGCAATGTGGGAGACCCGGGTTTGATCCCTCTCGGTCAGGGAAGATCACCTAGAGAAAGGCAAGGCAACCCACTCCAATATTCTTGCCTGGAGAATTCCATGGGCAGAGGGGCCTGGCAGGCGACCATCAGGGTCGCAATGAGTTGGACTTGACGAACACTTTGCCACTTTTTTATTATAGGCATACATAATTACCTGCCTTGGGGAGATACCCTGAGGCTGCCTACCTGTGAAGAAGAGTTAAGGAAGTGAAACTAACACATCCCCTTGCCTGAGGCTTGCCATTCTAAGAAACAATTGCAAGGACTGAATAGTCTTTTTACTTCCTCACTTCCCCCACCTCTGATCCATAAAAGAACCTGGCAACCAGGCCCTGGGAAGATGGGTATTTTGAGGTGCTATCTTGAAATCTTCTCGGTCAGCCAGCTTTGCGAATAAAGTCTTCCTTGCCTTAACACCTTGTCTCAGATTTATTGGCCCATCTTTTCGCAAACAGAGCAAGCCTGGACTTGGTAACAGGGAGATGGTGATGATGTGACATTGAAAGCAACTGTTTCAAACCCGGTGTTTAAATATATTATTCCAGTAAGCAAGATTTAGGAGTAAATGTGAATCCTCACGTGGCAGGTAAATGAAAAACTGAGATTGTGACCAGTATTAAGTCTGACCCAGTAAAAACTTCCAAAGTCTCTGTGTGGATTTATGAAAATTACAGCAGGCAAACATCCCAATAAAACTCCAGGGTCACAGAACATCTTCCGCTTATAAATATCTGAACTTTATCTCGGGTTATTTTGTGTGCATGATTTCACGCCAGGAGAAAAAACAACTCCAAAATACTGATATGGTTCTGTTTTCTTGCTAATCATATCTCCGGTAATAACCAGACTTTATTGACTTTCAACCATTTACTGCTTTCTACATAGTGTGGCTATGATGCAACAGCATTTCCAGGCAGAGCAGCACGGCTCTTGGCAGTGCAGATCGGCTCTATGCACACGTGTCTCTTGTCTCTGAAGAGATCACGGCACCTTGCTTCCGGCAGACTGGGTATCCATGGATACTGCAGAGAGTTTCCAAAGAAACGCTGCCAAGAATTCTCACCATGCCAGCCTTTTCAGGCCTTCTTCAAATGGAAACTGACATCTGAATTAAAGGGACAGGCATCATGCTTCCACCAGACTCCTGAGCTGGCCAGCACGGACAGCCATCCTTTCTTCCCCATTCAGTGGCTGTGCATCGTTTAAAGACAAGCGGGCAAATTACTTATCCTGTGAAAGGGAATTGAGGGGAGGAAGCCAGGTCTGACATGATCTCTCCATAAGGTCCAATGACCCAGTAATAACTTATTATGTATTTCTTGTCTGGTGATAAATATAATCAAGGCCTGAAAAATATAAACCGGCCAGGGGAAAAGCAGAGGCCGACAAATAACATTTGAGATTGCATGCCCAGATTTCTCTCCCCAGATGACAAAAAGGATTGCAGGGAGGCAACCATGACCAGGTTTTCAAGTCTGTGATCAGGGGCATAAAGCAGGTCACAGTGAATTAAAGATCGGGCTGCAGAACTTGAATAAAGCAGCATTTCAATTGATGGGAGGATGCATTATAATAATTTGTTTTCCCTAGATCCTTATCACTAAGCCAGCTGAAGAATCTTCTTAAAAGCAATCATAATTAAATTTTCTATTATTCAATGAATCTGGCCTTCAGGGACGTAGGTTATGAACTCAGAATATGATGATTTAGAATCAACAATAAATATTCCAAAGTTTAAGATTTTAAAATTTTATTTAGTTCAAACCGCACCCCCCCCCCCAATTTACATAGGGCAGGCCCAGTGGGGAGGAAAAAAACCTAAAAAGAGGAGCCAAAGGGCAGGGGGTCTTAGTTCAAACCGCCCCCCCCCCCCCCAACCCGCTGCCAGCCTCCAAGTCTCCATCCATGACATTTTCGTGACCACATTCTGTAGCTTCTTTTATTATCCAAACTGTATCACGTTTCTTGCTGGAGTC